GATTTCATCAATCAGACAATTTTTATCATATATCCTTAAACATCTGGAAATTCATATAGACCTTTAGGCCTCACACTCACACAAAACTCAACTTGAGTGTAATAGGTGAGTGAGTATTCACAGATATATGTATACTGAATCACATTATCATTGATATATATATAATCCTATCTGTGCTGTAAGAACATCTATAATTTCCATACTCATCACTAAACCACTGCACAGACACAATTTTCCTAAGGAAAAAAATCTCACATGTTAATTACAATGCTGATATGAACAATGTTCATGATCAGACAGAGGCAAGACTTTCTCAATAAATTTTAAAACCTTGTATGATGCTGGGCATTCTCTCAATGTTTCCCATTTATATACATTTTAACCAATCCTCAGAGGGAAATTTTTCATTAAAGTCCCCTTCTCAAATAACTTTTCTGATCTTAGAGAATATTGCAGTTGGTAATGACTAGATAACATACAAATATACAGATAGAACAGGAGTACAAACTTTATATTCCATTTAGATAAATAAAAATAAAAATCCATGAATGCACTGCAGCTTAATCCACAATGGTATAACTCTACTAGCAAAAACAAAAACAAAAATATAAACGCGAACATAAGCAATACCAAAATAAAATTCTGTCACCAGCATTTATTTCTTGATTTGCTTTTCCCACGTAAAAAGCTTATAAACTGTTGATCTAAATTTGACTACATCACAAAATATGAAATATGTTGCAAGAATTCACTGTGTATATACATGTTAGCTACTTTCAATATGGCCATCATATGCTATAATACTCTAATGTTAACATGGTAGTGTTATGCTTCCTTATTATAAGTGCATCTGATCATCAAATATTAACTGTTCACTAACCTTCCCATTCTTGTAATCTAAATATACATATTTGTAAATAGAAATATTTTTAAAATATCAGAACATTATTGACACCAAGTTAGCATATAAGTAGTATGATATGATGGACAGTACACATCTTAAAATGTTATTTTCGTTCTATGGAGATTGTTCATTTTCTCTTCAAATATAAAAACCTCAGAAAAAGAACTTCCCAGTTGAATAACATTTACTCAGATCTACCTTCATCATTCAGTAACATAAAAATCATCATGAAAATGTATTATAAAATATTTAAAGGCTGAAATGAGGATGGGAAATAATAAATGTATTATGTATTATGTATCATGTAATTGGTAAATAAATATATCTACAAACATATTAGGAATGTAAAATATGAGATCATGTTTTGAACTTTTTTCCTTCTTTTTTCTATTTCATGAAATGAATGATTACCAAAATGATTGAGAATATCAACTAACTTTTAAGGTATACTTAAGTTTTCTTAAAAAAAACAAAAAAAACATACAAACAAAAGCATGTGACAAATTATGGATAAAAACAAAACATTAAATAAGACACTGAACTGACACACAGAAAAAAATATATATATATATTTAAACTTGAACAAATACTTAGCTTCATGATAAACCTTCTATCATGTGTGCAAGTATTACACATTCCTAAACTTTATGACACAGTCACTTGAACCCTTTCCTATATTTCAACATAAATCATCAAGGAAAAAATTCACAAACGTACATCATGGTAAAAGTGATTATGATAAAAATGCAACTGAGGCTGTAAAAGAAAAGTAGATTCTAACTAAAAACAGCTTTAAGTGCCTCGAGCAGCAATTCAGATTCAGTAAATATACCATATGATTCTGTAACTAGATATACACAATTATTTAATATTAAGTAGTTTCTCCGCTTTTGAGTGGGAGTCTATCTTCCATTATACAAAATCATACCACGTGAAATTCAAAATTAAATATCTAACACATAATGATTCTTGTTACTTCATTTGGTGTTTGTGAGGGAGTGTGCGTGAGGGTGTATGTATGCGTGAGTGTGTGTTTGTGAGGGCGTATGTGCAGGTGGGCGTGTGTGCATTAGAGTGTGTATGTGGGGGTGTTTGCATGTGTGTGTGTATGTGTATGTGTGCATGTATGTGTGTATGTGTGTATGTGTGTATGTGTGTATGTGTATGTGTATGTGTGTGTGTGTGTGTGTGTGTGTGTGTGTGTGTGTGTGTGTGTGTGTGTGTGTGTGTGTGTGTGTGTGTGTGTGTGTGTGTGTGTGTGTGTGTGTGTGTGTGTGTGTGTGTATGCGGACATTATATATATATATATATATATATATATATATAATATATATATATTATATATATATATATATATATATATATATATATATATATCCATATATCCATAAATATATATGTGAGTAAAGAAAGTTATGAATGAGGAAGAATATCTTTATAGTGCAAGAGCTGTATTTCAGAACTTCAATTATAACAATGTTATTATGAAAGTTCTCATCAGCTCTTTTCACAATGCATTCGCTGTGGACAGAGAAAGTAAACAGTACCTAAAAACACATTCACTAGGGAAAAAAAAAATCTATCATTAAAAATAATTTCCTTATCACAATAACCATTTCTCACATCTTTCTCATTTAATTTTTTAGTTCCTGCATATAACATTTAACAAATTTAACCTAAAAATAGTTCTTTAAAATACATTTCAACCTACAAGAGGTTATCTCTAGTCTCGGGGAGCTTGAGAGACACAATGCTACCGAGCAAGAGAACAACTGAAGTGGTCAACATTGGGATTGCCCGACTTGTGTAGATGAACTGCCCGAAACACAACGACCCTAAAACGCCTGCTATCCTTGACGTGGCACTCAGGAACCCATATGCTGTTGTCCTGTAAAAGACAAGAATGTGTGTGATTTTTTTTTTTTTTTTTCATGATCAAATTAATATAATATGCAATTACAGCAAAGCTATCTATTCCTTTGTCACTGATTTTTCTTTTCCTTTCTAACTAATCATTCAGTATATTTCTATTCATCATAATACACATATGATTTATTTGCCATAAATGTGCAATTAAAATATTATGCCTCAAATTTTTTTTTGTTTCACAGCTTGGCTACATATTAGCAATCTACATAGCAAATGGTTATACCTGATATGAGTTGGAAAGGCTTCAGTAGATGCTATATCTAAGGCATTCCACCCAGATATGAAAATGAAATTAAACACAGCCTCGAAGACAATCACGCCAATCTTGCTGTTTAAAAACCATATGAAGAAAGCTGATATTGAAGATAAAAACATAGACACACCTGAAAAAATTAAGTAGTTTAAATATAAAAATGCAATGCACATCTTTCCGATGTTTTTAAACATTTCAATTCTGTAATTCATCAATAAGTAAAAGTAATTCTAATAAAATTAATTAAATGACGAGAAACAGATAAAGCAAATAGTTACAGGAAATTATATCATATTAAAAGCAAGGAATTACAAAATACCAAAACTTAATCTATCTCATCAAAAAAATTAAAGTAACAATAATTCCAGTAAACTTAATTCAGTGATGAGAAACAGGCAGAGAGAGGAGTTACAAGAAATAATATTTCAAAGCTCAATCTATTTCAGCAAAAAAAGAAAGGAAAAAAAAAAGTCTGTCAATGAGAAATTCATTCAACAAAATCCAAAGAAAAATAAAAGAAGCTAAATCCAGCAGACTCACTCATGATCTTCACGCGTCCGATCCTGTCCATCAGAAGCGACGTGATAAGAGTACCAGGAATGATGGTCAGTTGGCCAATCAGGTTCTCTTGAAATACCTCTTTATAGTGGATATTGTAGTCGAAGTCGAGCTGACACCCGGGCACACTGGCACGAACTACGTTGTTTTTTTGCTCACAGTCTATGAATCGATATTCATATAGGTCGGTGTCGATGAATATACAATCTTCAATCATTGAGTATCTGCACATAAAAGAGGATTGAATTAGTATAAGAAATAGTGTACACAGGGAAAAATAAAGACTAAAAATGTAATACTTAAGAATGTATATGTGAAATATTTTATCAGATCTGAATTATTGCTTTTATTAATGAGAATTAGTATGAGTAGACAATCATTTTATTACCAAAAAAAACAATATTCATCAAAATAAAAATAAATGAAATGAGGATAGAAGTAAAGGGAAAAATGTTAAGAATTATATAGAAATAATCTGAAACAAAATAAAATCCATAAATAAAGAATAATACCAAATGATAAATAATCATTAAAAAATGGAAAAAAGGAAAAGGAAAAGAAACTGAAATTTTAAAATAGAAACATACCAAAAGAAAAAGAAAATATAAAAAATATATATAAAAACTAGAAAAAAAGAAGCAAGAGACCTTAGATTTACTAAAAATTACACAAAAATTTAAAAATCATTCAATTTCAAACTGTTGTCTTAGAACATGCACAACCACAACAACGGAATCTGCACATACTTGAAGAAGGTCTTGCTACTCCGCACATTCGAGAAGAGGCAGTCCATGAAAGTACAGTTCAGGAAAATCACATGATTCATGACAACATCCTTGAAAGTGACGTTGTTGAAGATGACCTCATTAAAGACGCGGTTGTCGAACAGACTGTTGTTTAATCTCTCATCAATGAATGCATTTTCTGTTGGGGGGAAAAATATTGTAAAGGAAACGTGGAAGGAAAAAAGGGTTTTGTAATGACAGTTTAATTTCTATAGGAAATGAAGGGAATCATCATAGGAGTTCCCAGTGTATTGTATCCTATACTTATCTCCTGTCAAGTCTTCAATTTTAAGAGTTTTAAAGTATTCAGTATTTTACCTCCCATTGAAATTACACTCTGATCCTCATGCAATGTACAGCATGAGGTAATGATAAAAAAAATATATTTGGAGTTATTGTTGATTAATATCTTGGATAATTCTGCATCTCGTATGATAATTAAAAGTTTCGACTAGAAAGCACTCAGAGAGCAAAGTACTCAAAATTCTTTTAAAATACAAATAGCCAAATTTTTAAAAAGATAATTTCTCAGATCAATTTTCTATGATTAATTAATACAACAATGAAACCCTTAAACTGATTCTAGATTCTATCTTATTTATTGCAAAATATACTGATCTGTGGGTCATGGCCAAACCACCCATAATTTTTATCCTAATCCATTAATTTCATTTAATTTTATGGACAAACTAAGACACTAATCAATGAACCAATTATTATCCTAAAAAAATCATTATTCCTAATCCTAACCTTGAATTTTCCGACATATAAGACTTAAAAAGAAACATGGGGGTAATTATTACCAATTAAAACATTATACATCCTTACCATCTGTAGTCTTGGCATGTTTGTTATATTCTTCACTTTGTAGAAGTTTTATGTATTCTGGGAACCAGACTGACAGACCGTAGAACCTGTTTAAAGATAATTCTCGATAAGAGTTTATATTTTTTATTACTCAAGCACTAGCATTTTATATCAGACTTTCCATACTCATTTTAGTTTTTTTTTTCTGTCTCTCTCTCCTCCTTCTCCCTCCTCTCTTCTGTCCTCTCTCTCTCTCTCTCTCTCTCTTAATTAGTTACTCTTAATTACTCTTGACCATACTTACTTTTACTCTTAATTATTCTTACTCTTACACTCACTCTTACTCTCACGCTCTTCCATCTTCCCCCATTTCTTTCTCCTACTTACTCTCTGTTCTTCCCTTTCTTCCCCTACTCTTTCTCTCTTTTCTCTCTTCTCTTCTCCTCTCTCCCTGCCCCTCTCCTCTCCCTCTCCTTCCACTGTCCCTCTCCCCCTCCCCCTCCCTCTCGCATTTAACAAATCAATTAACTCACCCAAAAGCACAGGTGAACCACACTACAAGAAGCAGAACAGTCGATTTGAGGTACGGGGGAATGAATAGCTGGAAGAATAGACCCCAAAACTGCAAAGAAAAATTATGAAAAATGCATCAGCATCCCGTCAGAAGATAATTATACAGGAAAGGACAAATTGGCAACTCATAGCGTCTCTGGAGTACTCCGATTCGTCAAGTTTCTTTTGAAAAGAAATAATAATGTTGCGAAAAAAAAAATTGTATATGATTTTTTCTAATATGAAAAATATGTATATGTAAATCGTGTCAGCTGATTAGAATGAAAAAAGATATTTGGAGAATCGAAGTCCTCCAGAGTCTGGGGTGAGTTGCCAGGTTGTCCTTTACTGATGAAAAATGGATCTAGAAAGGGGTTGTATACAAAAATATTAACTAGAATATCCTAGAAATACATGTATAATAACACTATATATTTTTAAGCAAACATGGAAGCAAGGTTATTTGTAAATATCAACACTATATATTTTTCTTGCTATTCAAATCCTATTTTCTACATTTATAAAAACATAAGATATGTGACGTATTTAACATCCCCATTACAAACGCTTGCTTTTTAACTTTTTCGTAATTCCTTAAAGCATGCGTTGGCAATGCTTACACAATTAAATTATCATAAATATTTATTCACTACCATTAGATTTCAATGCGCACGAAATATCTACCTGATCAAGACCGTATGACAAGTCAGAAAAGAAATTTTTGCCGACGCCCTGGGGAGGAGTGTGTCGAAGAGAACGATGAGTTCCTGACGGCAGTTCCAATTCTGTGAGCTGGTATTCGGCTCCTGGGTTTTGTGCGTTGTTCCACTTGAAGATTTTCTGCAAATATTGTTTTATCGTTGGATGGTAGTCGAAATGGAGAGGTTTTTTTTTTTTTTTTTTTTTTTTTTTTGGCACCGTATGTCTATATTCTAACCATGCAATGATATCACAGTATTCTTAACAATAAACACCTAAAAAACAGTCGCGGTTAAATCTGAAAAAAACATTTACAGATACTATAAATCTGCTGGAAAAAAAATATTACCTTATATACCATGATGGCTTCAACGTCACGACCCTTTTCGAGTAAGAACCGCGGTGACTCAGGCATGAAGTATAGGCCGATAACTGCAGCGAAGGAAGGAAGGGAACACACCACGAGGAACACGCGCCAAGAGCTGAAGTGGTGTTGCTCGTCCAACACAACGGTGATGCCTGTTCAGTGGAAGATTCTTGGTTAATCTTTCTGCGAGGTAGACTTAATAACGGTTGTGGTTATGAGACAAGCGTGAAAATGTTGCTTGGTGGTCAGGGTGTTTGTGTAATAAAGATTTCAGAATTTAGTTTGAATTCTGTGTTATAATGGATATTTTTTGTTGTGACATGCTATCTGTTTATTGCTTCTAAATCTCCCCGGTGTGCAAAGAAACAGCCGTGGTTACCAGCAACTGGCAGCGCGGGATTGAACGCAGGTCAGCGAGATTGCTAGACGAACACGCTAACCGCTGCACCACACTCCACACAGGAATATTGCAGGACGGTGTGTTTATATGAAAAAGTTGTCTATATAGTTTTGTATATTATATTAAACAACACATCTGGCTCAATATTAGCCATTTTTGTCCACAATTGGCACAGTCTTATTTATTCATTACAATATTTCAACCGGTTTATCGCAAACGGGTCATTCATGGTTCGTCTCGAAGTCTACACCCACGCTACTTTACAAAAATATATTCAGATGAGATATATAAGCTGCTTTAGGTTGATAATAATGGTAAAATATGTAAGTGTGCATGTAACAAAGAGTAAAAGTTATTTATTGGTATACCAACTCGATAGACAAAGCGAAATTTTCTAGTGGCGGTGCGTAGTACAGAATAACGCAGCTTTGAAGCCTCGGACAGGCAGGTGAAGCACTTGGGTGTGATTACCTAAAGCAAAACATCTCGCAACGAAGCTGGCTTTAAATATAATAATTTATGAATGAGTAAAGTTTATTGTTCATATCAGATTTATCTACAGTTGGCACTATAAAACCCGGACTGAAATTGTTAAGCATTTTGGCTTTCGAAATACCTAATTTTGGCACATTTGTGACACTTTCATGTTCCTTTTAGCTTGCCAGCACTGGGCCGTTTTCAGTACAAAGTGCATATATGTGTTATTCATTCAGACACCAAAATGGCTCCATTTAGGGATATAAAAAAATAATCATAAAACACAATTAATTCGTATATACATAACCTTTTAGAAAACGAGGATTTTTTAAGGTCCACGCTTACCGGATTGCCTATTATGCACATAAGGCATCTAGAGCTAAAGATAATATATGTGTGTGTATATCTATATATATATATATATATATATATATATGTGTGTGTTGTGTGTGTGTGTGTGTGTGTGTGTGTGTGTGTGTGTGTGTGTGTGTGTGTGTGTGTGTGTGTAAATGAAAAGGACCCACAAAAACACTGACTCTATAAAAAGGGCAAACTCACCTGTCCTAGGAATTATCGCCCACGCCATCAACGCCGTGAAAACGCCGCCCACCGCCCAGAACACCAGCAACCATGATAGATGGCGCCCTCTCTCAGCCCGGGTCACAAACTCACAGTAATAAGCAAACACAATTGGAATCCCGCCACCAATCCTGTTAGAAAGAGAGCGTGATGATAAAGCTGCATGTGAAGAACAAACAAAATTGTATATGTTTTTGTTGTTTTTGTTTTTTGTTATATATGAGCGAAAGAAAGAAGTATAAAGCTAGTTTTAGATCCGGGGTCCCTAACCGCACGGGCCATGAATTACTTTGAATTATACTTTCCAACCAGAGTATTACAGAGGCTAGTAGTGACAGAATGGTTAGTGTTTTGTTTCCGTTATTCACAATATAAAAAACTTCTCTTAATAAGAAAATATCGGCAGGTTAGGAACCACAGATCCAGATAAATAGCACAGCCTGTCTCGCGCACCATCGAGGAAAAAAAGTGGAGGAGAAAACACAACCAAAGCAAAACGGATATCTATTTCATCCTTACCCAATGCCAGAGCAGAGTCTGGTCGTCATGAAGATCCCGTAGGTGGGCATGAAGGCCGTCATGACCCCAAATAAGGCGTTTACAAACAGCGCCGAGAGAAGAGCTCGTCGGCGCCCCACGTTGTCGCTCAAGCTGCCCCAAATCATCGCCCCAATCATCATGCCAATGAAGGTGATGGCGGCTGGAAGATGAAGGAATGTGTGATCATTTTTTTCCCCATCTTGTGAAGTAGGTTTGATGAGGGTGTGATTCTAGTTGGAATTCGAGTGTGCGTATTGCCTATCCTAACCTGAAGCAAATGAATCGGCTTCGAATCTTCTTCAATACCGAAACTACATAATCAGTATATATACAATAAGCACACTTGTTTTCTTTCCTTATGATTCATCTTCTTTACGGAAAATCAAAGAAATCATAATCCATTCCAAACCCGTAGCCAAAACACACTACGAATATATAAACAAAACCGAAAACTCCCCAGCAAGAGAAAGCACGACACCAGCTGATCCGAAGCTTCACTCACCAAGCCAGCCTTTGTCAGTCCCGGACATACAGAGCTCAACCTCAGCTGACGGGATGACATACGCTACTACGAAGAGCTCGATGGTGTCAGCAGCGAGCCCAAGGCCTGTGATCATGAGCAGAAGCCACTGGAAAGCCCCTGTGCCAGCCTGGAAGACAGTGAGCGAGCTGTAATAAGCCTAAAAGGTAACTTGTATCCCGATTGCGTATACATTAATTGATTCTCGTTGGTAGATTATGATTAATCTGTATTTTCATGTTGATGGTAATTCATGATTTAGATTTGATGTAGTTCGTATTATTCTGTTTGCACTGTATTGATGTATATGGCTGTTTTAATACTATAAATGTCAAAATCTTTCTTGTTAATTTTGGAACGTTTTAACAAAGCTTTTGTGGTTTCTGTTATGGGGAATGGGTATCTGGTTTAATACTACAAGACCTGAAATATCAAATAAATACTTAATTTGGATATATTAATATTGGAAGAAAAAAAAGCCATAACAAACAGACCAATCTGGAAAGAAATAAAAGGCGTTTTTCTCACCTGTTCCCTCGTCATACTCACCTGCTGTATGGCATCCTCGTGAAACTGCGAGAGGAGAGGGGCGTCACTCTCCACATAGTCCAGTTCATCTCCTCCATCAAGGTTACCCTCTCCACCTCCACCTCCTCCACCCCACGACCTCCACCTCCTCCAACCCCTCCTCCCCCGCCTCCGCCTCCACCTCCTCCACTTCCTCCCATCCCACCTTCGCTCTCCCTTAGCATTCCACCTTCAGAAGTGTAGCTCCGGCCTCCACTGCCGTGACGCACCAAGGACGCGGACTCCAGCCCGTCACCTCCTCCACTCATGATAACCCTGGTGACAAAAGGTAATCAATGGTAATGGACGGAAAGGCAATCAATGTGCCGCTGTGAGTTAGGAGAGGCGGTTAGAAGTTTTACGTCTGGCGGAAGGCTTTTTTTTAAGTTTTTTTTTCTTTTTATTACGAGGAAATGACCTCTTCCGCTATAAAGTTTAGAAATAAAAAGCATTGGCGTGAAAGAAAGAGCGAGTAAGAAATAAATACATTGGCAATTTGGGTTTAGAGAATGGCAGTTTGTTGTTATTCATATTAGACGCATATTTAATGCAAAAATGGATATAGAATAAATTGTAATTAATTTCATGTTTAGAAGCTTATTAAGCATCTGTATGAAGTTTATAAGGGATAAACATTACATTTTTTTCTCATTAACAAAAAGAAAGTACATATTGGGGTAGTTTTATGAAGCAGTTTATCAGTTTAACAATGGAGTTTATAACGAAGAAGGAAATCTTATGAAAGTACCTGTATGTATGTAGATGTGGACAATTGTTGATACAACATCAGCACATACAAATTCTACAAGAAATCTGTGGTCATTCACAAACCGGTATATTTTATCAGATAAGAAGCTTGAGAAAAATATGATGCTAACCTAGATAGGAATTCGACATTAATGATTACGAATGATAAAGAGTGCATCTAATTCTGATTAGTTATTTTTATGGTGAAAGATAATTTTTTCAAGATATCTGTAACGAGAATGAATGATGTTTAAGTACAAAATGCATTTAGAGTTGTGTGTGAAAGGGTACAAAAATATAAATTGTGTGGATGTGTGCATATGCTAGCGTGTGCATTTTCTATATTATGTGTCACAAATACCAACACATCACTTACAAATACAGAACTTTATGACCACTAGGGTGAGTCATACCATCTCTAGCTCTCCCTATTTTATCATCTCTCGCTTCTTCTTTCCTTTCTTCTTTTCAACACAGACGTACTTCGTTTTTTTTTTTTTTTTTTTTTTTTTTTTTTTTTTTTTTTTTTTTTTTTTTTTTTTTAAAATACTCTTGTGATCATATTCATGATTATTTGTATTCATTTCTCGGCGTTATTCGTTCTGTCTACTGTCTGCATCTTATTTATTATTCATGATTATTAATTTATTCGGATTTTACGATTACACTGAAATTTAAAATAAATGGTAACATATGAATTTAAAGACTCTTACAGGCATTTTGTTAAAATTATACGAGGCCCGACCCAGTGAATATGCATATTTATGGACATGCATATACACGGAAATAAATGCATATCTGTCAGTCTCGACATATATATCTGACAGATAGAAGACAGGTAAATGTATATCTATCAGACAGCCAGACAGTTGCATTTATTTCTGTGTATATACGTGTTTGTGTAGGTGAACATTCACTGGGTCAGGCCTCGCAGTTTTAACAAACGGGCGGTTAGACTATTGACACTTCAGAGAGGATGTTAAAATGCTTAAAGTGGATCGCATTCCTTTCAAAATCATGGATAATATTGGGTGTTTAGATTAACTTTATTCATTATCCTGTTTTGTGACAATTATACTAATTAAAAAATAAATAAGACCAAGGATAAATGCAATAAACTAAATTATACTTTTTATACGTTCAATAAATACTATGTTATTGTGAAATTGATGAAACTATAAATAGATGTGTAAAGGGAGGGTAAAAAGATCAGAGGCTACACACTGTATTTCATCTCTAAGCTTTATTGCTGTCGAAGATATAAATATTCGATATTTGTAAGCAACATATGATCCCGTGAGTAAAATACGGCGGCAGATCTCATACGGAGTTGAAATGACCGTGGCTTCTCCTGGAGTATTTTACATCCCTCTGAATAGTTTATTTATGGATCTGTTATATATATATAGCCATATGAGATATTCATGGGTTTCCAATGTTTAGCTTTATATAGCAGAAAGGGAAAGGATAGATCAGTAGCAACTCGACGAGGTGTCATGGCGTCTGATTCTATTTTTGGAAAAACAAAGCACATGGGGTTTATTTTGATGACGTCACAAAAGTTACGGATTGTAAATATGGTCGATCATTTTGGTCTCTTCAGTCTTCAAAAAGGATGGAAAATAATGATTTTAATGGTTATATTTTCACAGAAAAATCACCAAAATGCCATGACACCTCGAGTTGCTACTGACTAGCCTTTCCCACAGCAGAAAACTCACACTGCTTGTTTGTTGTTTGGTTATCTGAGAGCAGGTTTGGGGATGGGAATATGAGGACCGAAAGTGCAAATTAAGGCCCTTGTGACCCATAAAACTAGAAATTATTCATATCGTAACAAATGGCAGAAATAATGAGTCCCCCAACGGAATTCTTTTCAAAAACATGTAAATACATTGTTGCATGTATGCATGGTTGTTGATAATAGTATTATAATCTTATAAAGTAGTAGTACCATTAATATCAGTAATGATAATAAGAGTAATATTATTATCAATATTATTATAATCATTTATAATTGTCATTATTCATTATTATTATTATCACACATACACACACACACACACATTATACATATTCGTGTGTATAATATATATATATATATATGTATATATTATGTATATTATATGTATATGCAATACACACACACACACACACTACACACACACACACACACACACACACACACACACACACACATATATATATATATATATATATATATATATATATATATATATATATATATATGGATAGATATTTATGCATCTCCAATTCTGAACTTATAAATGTATAACGGTGATGATAATTGTTTTTAAGCACAAATCAGTTATTGACCGGAAGAAAATAATAACTCTTGGTTAGAAATGCGTGTTCAGTTATTTCTTGATTAACTCCTGTTTCTGCACATTTTTTTTTCTTTCTTTTGCGTTCATTTTCTTTTTCTTTCAATAGGTCCTTTATTCTGTTTAATTAAGTATTGCATATAAGTGTTGATTCGGTGGCTGTTCTGTGATCCGTTTTCTGTTATTCTCACGTGGCTCAATAATAATGGTGGTAATTATTTTTAAATCTAGACCTACGGTACAATGCAAATTTTGGTGAATTTAATCAACCATCCTACAATTAATTTTAAGGAGTTTAAACCCAAAGACAAACACAGATACACACGCTGTATATATCATATACATGTAAATGTATATTTATTCATTTATTTATTTATCTATTTATTGTTTTACAAATCATCACAAATTTGTGTAGATTTGTTAAATTCCATGGATAAAAAATGTATATGGCAAGATAGAAACAACCTTAATTATTTGTGGAAGAGAAATAAAAAATACTAATAATAATGATCATTAGTGTACTATTATATAATATTGTTGGCGATGATAATGATGATGGAGATAATGATGATGACAGTGATGACAGCGATAAAATGGTACCATTGTTATCAGTAATGGTAACCGCAATCGTTATGATAATAATAATATAGAATTTATGTCCGTTTCATGGACCATAATGCACATAGCAACACGATCAAAGTTTCAAGGCAAGCTTCCCCGTACCCCCCCCCCCCTGCAGGTCTATTTAAGTCTTTTTCCTCCTTCCCCCAGCCTTTTATTCGTTAATTCCCCATGTGACGTCATAGGCCTATCACTCGAAGCTGTGCAGTACTCGGAAGTGACGAGATTTTAGGTAGACCTTGTCCTTACTTAGATCTTGTTCTTACTTATATGGACCTTGTCCTCCTTATTTAGATAAACCTTGTCTTCCTAACTTATATAGACTTTGTCCTCCTAAATTAGACTTTGTCCTTTTAACCTACATAGACCTTGTCCACCAAACTTAGATAGACCTTGTTCTAAGTTAGATAGACCTTGTCCTTGTAACTTAGACAGACCTTGTCCTCCTAACTTAGATAGACCTTGTCCTCTTAATTTTAGACCTTGTCCTCCTAACTTAGACAGACTTTGTTCTCCTAACTTAGATTTTGTCCTCCTAACTTAGACCTTGTCCTCCTTTAGATTTTGTCCTCCTAACTTAGACCTTGTCCTCCTAAAACATATAGATATTGTCCTCCTTCTCACATAGACTTGTCCTCCTAAAATAGACTTGTCCCCTGAAATATATAGACCTTGTCCTCTTTAGATCGACCTTGTCCTCCTTAGACCTTTTCTTCCTCACATAGACCTTGTTTCCTCTTACTTAGACCTCCTTCCTCACATAGACCTTGTCCTCCCCATCGCCGGGCAGGAGGGACGGGAAACTCACCACACGGAGATGGAGTTCGGGGAGTGAGGCACCAGGAAGGTCGGGACGTTCCTGGAGAGGAGGCGCGGCCCGCATCGCCTCCGTCCCCGCAGAGAAGAGAGCCGGATCATGTTCCTAATTGGCGTTTCTATCATCACAGGTGTCAGCGGCGTGACCCTGGGTGAAGCGAGGTCATGCTCCGCTTCGATTTCTTCTCTCTCCGGCGGGAATGGCGGCCGGGAGAGGGAAACGTTCGAGCCGAGGCATGGGAACGTCGGTTTGGTTTTCGAATGTCGGCTCGGGGTGAAGGACCTCGTTCAAGCGCAAAGCCTGTCTGCATGTTCGGCCGTTGGGGCTGCGCGAGGTCAAGGGTCGGGCCGGTTCCTCATGCGATGGCTGAGGCTCGCGTGGGTCAGGCTGGGTGGAATCGGCAGTCACTGGCTCTACGGCTTGGAGGTTCGTGTCCTCAGGTCCCGGTTTTTCCCTGGCGACTTGTGTGTCATGGAGGTCCTGAGGTCTCGTACGTTCAGGAGTATCGGTGTCAGTTCCTTGCCCTTCATCACGGCGCTTATCTGGTTCTCTCATGTGTTGAGCCATGGAGTCGGGCAGGGCTTCATCGTATATCGTAGGCTCTAGCACATGAATCACCGAAAATTCTGTTGTAGTTGTCACGGGTGTTGTGAGATACCAGGAAGCAATGTTCCTTCCGAGGGATTTCAAAGAGAACTTTAATTCTAACACGTGTCTCCTTCTGAATATGTCTATTTCAGATTTTCTTGATTACAAATTAAAACGTTCTTTGTGCATTTGCCGGATATATCATGTCCGCAGAACCATAGACCGTAGAAACAATAGACGTATACGTAGCGTTTGATCACATGAACCACCACACTTCCACACGGGCTTCAAACGCCTTACAAAACCGCCTCTTTCCAGATACAAACAATCCACAAACCACAACGACACTTTCCTTTCAACTCCTGCGTCCCTCTTTTAGTCTATTTTTCACCCAGAGGCAAAGAGAGAGGTGAAGACCCCACCTCGCGAGGGGACGACTGCACTGTTGCGTGTGGCGATGCCTTCCGTCTTCGACCTCCCTCCCTTTGCCGCAGCAGACACGCACCGTCGACGCCTTATAGAGAAGTCTCCCCGAGAAAGTATGAAAGAAAATGGGACGACGACACACCATTCGTGACGATGATTATTCATTGATTTTCTTTTGTTTTTAACCGTTCGTAATTTCAACAATTAAGTGGAATCATATAAGGTTACATAATTCGTTCTTTTCGACTAGTCATAAAGCTATATGATTCGTAAAATCTGTATCTTTAGTTAACTCTCAGCAAATGTATATAAATTAAATAATCTTCTAAAAACAAACAAGCGTACTTTTTAAGACAAGTGAAGGTAAAATAATTACCATGAGGTAGATTATGCAAGGTCGGAGATTTGTATACTAGGTCAAAAGGAATCACGCAAAGGTCTAAAATTTCCTAAACACATACATATGTATGTGTGTGTGTGTGTGTGTGTGTGTGGTGTGTGTGTTGTGTGTGTTGGTGTGTGTGTGTGACTGAGTAGATAGGCAGGTAGATAGGTATACACACATTATATAATATATATATAATATATATATAATATAATATATATATATATATATATATATATACATGTAAACAATAATTATGATTAAACAAATGGCAATAACACGTGTCACTGATGAGTTTGTTTACAGTATGAAGTGCGCAGAAAGGACGGTTCTCAACTCTTACCATATCTAAGATTGGTTAAAAGCCATTGCCTTTTAGTACACCATTTCGTATCTTCGGAATATTGGTATTTACATTTTTGTCACCACCATCAGCAGTAATATTTTCGTTATCATTATCCCTTTAATCAAATAATTCCTTAATTGTTTTGGGATAGTTGCTTGTTGGCATTTGGTTCGAACGGGTTTGAACGATTCGGGCGCATCCGAAGCCGTGGAAACGGACGATGGAGAACAGAATTATATATAAAGCGTAGGTGTTCGTATGTAACCTTGCTTAAAAATAACTTTTTCACAAACAAGTATCCTTTTCAGGCAGATTGTGATTATAACGAAGGAAGTAAGTGATGCAAGTCTATATAGACTGGCAGTTGAGAAACTGTTTCGGATATTACCTTAAATCCCATTTTCGTTAAAGTGAATCTACTCTAGATTCCAAACTGAATGAAAGCATTAAATAATCATAAGCTAATTTCTACACCAGTTTATTTATTTTTTTTTTTAGATATTAAAAGATAAAAATAGTAGGCTAGAATGTGATCTTATTTGTAATCATTGTTTTAGGTAATCTTATTTGAAGACATGATTAATTCCAATGTCCATAATAAAATACCAAATCATATTGCACCATAATAGGAGGAAGACTGCTACATTTAGTGTTTATCCACCTGCGTCACCTTTTGTTAAGGAGTGCCCATTTTCAGTAATTTATTGAGCTTCCATTACCCCCGAATTTTCCAAAATTACCCCAAAATTTCACCCAAATCGTTGACGCAATATACGTCCTCCCACCATCTTCTGGTATAAATGGAAGTGGAATGGCAGACGGAATCGGCGACGGGCAGACAATTCACCTTTTGTGTTGGGATGGCGTGACATACATACCTTGTCCACTGTTATGTTTGTTTATGCATTGCACTTACACATAGATGGTTTCACAAGTGCTCAGTCACCAAGTAGTCAATTATCAGTTGTACCTGTTTACCTCTTTCCCTTTCGAAAAGGTTATGTTTTATTGCTGTTGGAACTTTACTAACATTCTTACAAAGACGATGTTAATGATAATCACTGTCTCGATATTGATACCATATTATAAAATCTCGAAAACTGATTAAATTGATTAAATAAGGCAACCAGCGTAACTACGGCCAAACTAGCATTGTTATTAGAACGAAGGAAGTATGTACTGAAGTAAGGAGGATAAACAACGGGAAATAGTGAGTAAACAGGTGAACGGCTAAAACATCAGAGTCTAGATGGTATTCATTTTTTTTGCGCCTAATAAGGGTAATGATAATGAGATGAATGGAGGTAAGGAAAGTCTCGATGGCGGAAAGAATAGTAAAAGTAAATACCCAAGAGGAAATGTTTACAAAATCATAATGGTAAAGAATGCATTACTGCAAATAGCCATTTAATGTTAATAGGTGAATATTGAGGCAAAAGGGAGGGGAGGAGAGGGTAGCGAGGAAGAGGGAGAGATAGACAGATAGATAAAGAGACAGAAGGGAAAGAAAAGATAAAAAGAAAAAGAAAAAATGGAGAGATAAAGAGAAACAAGAGTCAGGGAATGCAGGAAATGAGACAGACAGTCAGAAATAAACAAAAGAGGGAAGAGCGAAAAAAGAAAAGATCAAGAAAGATAGATACACAGAGACAGAGAGAGAGAGGAACAAGAAGAAGACGAAAGAATCCAAACGAAGCAGAAGTCGGAGCCACGTGACGAAAGAAGTGCGTCTTTTCTCGCGACTTCTCCCTCGATTCAACGGCGCAGAAAGTATTAGTTTTTTTTTTTTTTTTTTTTTTTTTTTTTTTTTTTTTTTTTTTTTGCCCATGTCTGTTTCGCAAAACAAGTATCACACAAATTAAAATAAAAAGTAAGTGTCACAGCTAATGAAAAAAAAACAAAGTCTCCCTCGATTCAACGGCGCAGAAAGTATTAGTTTTTTTTTTTTTTTTTTTTTTTTTTTTTTTTTTTTTTTTTTTTTTTAGCCCATGTCTGTTTCGCAAAACAAGTATCACACAAATTAAAATAAAAAGTAAGTGTCACAGCTAATGAAAAAAAACAAAGTCTCCCTCGATTCAACGGCGCAAAAGTAGTAATTTTTTTTTTAGTCTATGTCTGTTTCGCAAAACAAGTATCACACAAATTAAAATAAAAGTAAGTAGCTAATGAATAAAACAACAACATACAAGTATCGCGTAAGAAACTACTGTAACACAAGAAAAAAAAAAAAATCATTTATTTATTTTTTTCTATTCATTATTTTATATAAACAATAATAATAACAAATAATAAATAACAACAAACAATAATAATTATATTGATAATAATAAGGTATCACAAAATACAACTGCTGAACATGATTCAAATATCATATAATTTCATTTAAAAATCCAGAACCACCACAACAAACACCTCCAGTGCCATACAAACAAGCACTTCCGGTAACACGTTACTCCAGTACCACAAAACAATCAAGAAAAACAACATTAAGTTTCCCTCATACAGAGAGAGAGAGAGAAAGGACAAAGAGAAGACAGAGACAAAGAGAGAGAGGGAGAGAGGACAGAGACAGAGACAAAGGAGAGAGAGACAGACAGACGCAGAGACAAGAGAAGAGACAGAGACAGAAACAAGAGAGAGAGAGAAGACAGACACAGAGACAAAGAAGAGAGAGAGAGACAGAGACAAAGAGACAGAGAGCAGAAGTTCAAAAGGAAGAGGAAGAAAAAAAATGATAAAGAGAGAGAAGCAAAGATCAAAGAGGGAAGAGAGAAAAGAAAAAAGAGAGATAGTTCAAATGGGGAAGAGAGAGGGAAACAAATAAAGGTAAAGAGAGAGAGAGAGAAAGTGGTAAAATATGCTATACCGGAAAATAGGTTTAATTTTCCATTAAGAATGCTGACTGGTATAATTATTCCTATAATTCCAGTTTTATAAATACTGTAGATTAATTTTACATGTGACAACAGAAGAGGTAATGATATAAAACTTTTTTCCACTTATCGCATCAGCTAATTGAACCCATGTTAGAATTAATGATTTTTTAAAATTATTATTCACTTTGATTCCACAACTGAAAGTGAGTTAGAATCTAAAATCACGAGGAATTAATGATTTTATTATTATTATTTTTATTATTCACTTTGATTCCACAATTGAAGGTGAGTTAGATCTAAATCATGATTAAATAAATATGAACTTGAGAACGTTGAATTAAATATGTTTATGAGTTTTTTATTTTTTATTTTTATGATTGAACACATAAGCCGTTTCCCGTAAATCAACTTTGTTTTTAAATAAAAGGCAGTTTTTCTTTACCTTATTTGAACACAAGACGGGTTCTGAGGAAATAAGAGAGAGGGAGAGAGAGAAGAGAAGAGAGAGAGAGAGAGAGAGAGAGAGAGAGAGAGAGAAGAGAGAGAGAGAGAGAGAGAGAGAGAGAGAGAGAGAGAGAGAGAGAGAAACTGAAAGCGTTTTATCTCCCCAAATTTGACTTAAAATGCCTCCATATTTCCCTTTCCTTCTATTTTGACTTAAAGTGCGCCATTCCCCCCCCAATTTCTTTTCTTAAATTGTACTTTTCTCTCCCTGATTTACAACTCTAAGTGACATTTCTAATTTACAGAAAAAATAGTCCCTTTATAAAACTCATAATGAACACCCTTTTAAAACTCACAATGAACACCCTTTTAAAACTCATAATGAACACCTTTTTTAAACAAATGAACACCCTGAAACCCTTTTAAAACTCATAATGAACACCCTTTTAAAACTCATAATGAACACCCTTTTAAAACTCATAATGAACACCCTTTAAAAACTCATAATGAACACCCTTTTAAAACTCATAATGAACCCCTTTTAAAACTCATAAGAACACCTTTTAAAACTCATAATGAACACCCTTTTAAAACTCATAATGAACACCCTTTTAAAACTCATAATGAACACCCTTTTAAAACTCACAATGAACACCCTTTTAAACTTAAAACACCTTTTAAAACATAATGAACACCCTTATTAAACTCATAATGAACACCCTTTTAAAACATCATAATGAACACCCTTTAAAACTCATATGAACCCTTTTAAACTCATAATGAACAGAACACCCTTTTAAAACTCATAATGAACCCTTTAATAAACCTTTTAAAAACTCAAAATGAACACCCTTTTAAAACTCATAAATGAACACCCTTTAAAATGAAACTCATAATGAACAGAACACCTTTTAAATCACTGAACACCCTTTAAAACTCATAATGAACACCCTTTTAAAACTCATAATGAACACCCTTTTAAAATAATGAACATTTTTAAAACTCACAATGAACACCCTTTTAAAACTCACAATGAACACCCTTTTAAAACTCATAATGAACACCCTTTTAAAACTCATAATGAACACCCTTTTAAAACTCATAATTGAACACCTTTTAAACTCATAATGAACCCTTTAAAACTCATAATGAACACCCTTTTAAAACTCATAATGAACAACCCTTTTAAAACATGGAACACCCTTTTTAAAACTCATAATGAACACCCTTTTAAAAACTCATAATGAACTCCTTTTAAAACTCAATAAATGAACCCCTTTTAAAACCATAATGAACACCCTTTTAAAAACTTCACAATGAACACCCTTTAAACTCATAATGAAACACCCCTATAATGAACACCTTTTAAAACTCATAATGAACACCCTGCATTTTAAAAACTCATAATGAACACCCTTTTAAACCCATAATGAAACACCTTTTAAACTCATAAATGAACACCCTTTTAAAACTCACAATGAAAACCTTTAAAACTCATAATGAACACCCTTTTAAAAACTCATAATGAACACCTTTTAAAACTCAAACTGACACCCTTTTAAATCAATGAACACCCTTTTAAAACACAATGAACACCTTTAAAACTCATAATGAACACCCCTTTTTAAAATGAACACCCTTTAACTCATAATGAACACCTTTAAAACTCATAATGAACACCCTTTTAAAACACAAAACACCCTTTTAAAACTCATGAACACCCTTTAAAACTATAATGAACACCCTTTAAAACTCATAAATGAACCCCTCAATGACACCCTTTTAAAACTCACAATGAACACCCTTTTAAAACTCACAATGAACACCCTTTTAAAACTCATAATGAACACCCTTTTAAAACTCATAATGAACACCTTTTAAAACTCATAATGAACAACCCTTTTAAAACTCACAATGAAACACCCTTTTAAAAACTCACAATGAACACCCTTTTTAAACCATAATGAACACCCTTTTTAAAAACTCACAATGACACCCCTTTTAAAACTCATAAAGAACACCTTTAAAACTCACAATGAACACCCTTTTTAAAACTCACAATGAACACCTTTTAAAACACATAATGAACACCCTTTTAAAATCACAATGAACACCCTTTTAAAAACTCATAATGAACACACCTTTTAAAACGCATAATGAACACCTTTAAAAACTATAAATGAACACCCTTTTAAAACTCATAATGAACACCCTTTTAAAACTCACAATGAACACCCCTTTTAAAACTCATAATAACACCCTTTTAAAACTCATAATGAACACCCTTTTAAAAACTCACAATGGAACACCCTTTTTAAAACTCATAATGAACACCCTTTTTTAAAACTCATAATGAACACCCTTTTAAAACTCACAGAAATCCTTTTTTTAAAACTTATAATGGAACACCCTTTTAAAACTCATAATAACACCCTTTAAAAAAACTCATAATGAACACCCTTTTTAAAACTCATAATGAACACCCTTTTAAAAACTCATAATGAACACCCTTTTTCAAAGAACACGCCTTTTAAAAACTCATAATGAACACCCTTTGTTAAAAACTCATGAATTTTAAAACTCATACACCGAACAAAACTCCACCCTTTTAAAAACTCATAATGAACACACCCTTTTAAAACTCACAATAACACCCTTTAAAACTCACAATGAACACCTTTTCAAAACATAATTGAACACCCTCTCAAATGCAACACCCTTTTTAACTCTCATAATGAACCACCCTTTTAAAACTCATAAATGAACACCCTTTTAAAACTCATAATGAACACCCTTTTAAAACTCATAATGAACACCCTTTTAAAACTCATAATGAACACCCTTTTAAAACTCATAATGGAACAAACCCTTTAAAACTCACAATGAACACCCTTTTAAAACTCATAATGAACACCCTTTAAAAACTCATAATGAACACCCTTTTAAAACTCATAATGAACACCCTTTTTTAAAAATAATGAACACCTTTTTTAAAAACTCATAATGAACTACCCTTTTTAAACTCAAATGAAACCCCTTTTAAAACTCATAATGAACACACCCTTTTAAAACTCATAATGAACCCCTTTTTTAAAACTCATAATGAACACCCTGTTTTAAACACCATAATGAACCACCCTTTTAAAACTCATTAATGAAACACCCTTTTAAAACTTCACAATGACACCCTTTAAAACTCATAATGAACACCCTTTTAAAAAACTCATAATGAATGAACACCCTTTTTAAAACTCCAATGAACACCCTTTTTAGAAAGAACACCTTAAAAACTCATAATGAACACCCTTTTAAAACTCCACAAAGGAACACCCTTTTAAAACTCATAATGAACACCCTTTTAAAACTCATAATGAACACCCTTTTAAAAACTCATAATGAACACCCTTTTAAAACTCATAATGAACACCCTTTTAAAACTCACAATGAACACCCTTTTAAAACTCATAAATGAACACCCTTTTAAAACTCAAATGAAACCCCTTTTAAAACCATAAATGAACTTTTAAAACTCATAATGAACACCCTTTCTTTAAAAACTCACATATGAACACCCTTTTAAAACTGATGAACTTTTAAAACTCATAATGAACCCTTTTAAAAACTCATAATGAACACCCTTTTAAAACTCACAATGAAGCCCTTTTAAACTCATAAAATGAACCCCTTTTAAAAAACAATGAACACCCTTTTGAACACCCTTTTCAAAACTCACAATGAATAAAACCCTTAAACCATACATGAAACCCCTTTTTTTAAAACTCATAATGAACACCCTTTTAAAACTCACAATGAACACCCTTTTAAAACTCATAATGAACACCCTTTTAAAACTCACAATGAACACCCTTTTAAAACTCATAATGAACACCCTTTTCCTCAAAACTCAATAATGAAACCACCCTTTTAAACTCAATGAACAACAAAACTCGTACTCAATGAACACCCTTTTTAAAATCATAATGCGAACCCCTTTTTAAAACTCGTAAATTTTTAAAACTCATAATGAAACGCCCTTTTAAAACTCATAATGAACACCTTTTAAAACTCATAATGGAACACCTCTTTTAAAACTCAACAATGATGACCCCTTTTAAAACTCATAATGAACGCCCTTTTAAAACTCATAATGAACGCCCTTTTAAAACTCACAATGAACACCCTTTTAAAACTCACAATGAACTTCCCTTTTTAAAACTCAATGAACGCCCTTAACTCACAATGTCACCCTTTTAAAACTCACAATGAAAACCCCTTTTAAAACCCATTAATGAACACCCTTTTAAAACTCCATAATTGAAACACCCTTTTAAAACCCACAATGAACACCCTTTAAAAACTCATAATGAACACCCTTTTCAAACTCACAAGGAACACCCTTTTAAAACTAATAACGAACACCCTTTTAAAACAAAATGAACACAATTATAAAACTTTTCGAAAGAGTCAAGTTATATAGAATTCCCAAAGGTATTTATTCACTGGCCCTCGCGATGCAGGAGGCTTGGCGGGAGAAGAGAGAATCCAAACCTGTTAACTCCAGCCCGAGAGGTCATAGAGTTTAGGACTGGATTCCTTTCCTTGTCCACATCGTGGTTTTATCGGATGTATAAGTGACAGAATTTCATCGTATGTGTCGTAGCTTCAAAACTACGTGCGTATGTGTTTACCTTTTGTTATTTTGTTGTCGTTAGTATGGTATTTAAGTTGAAAGTTGTCGTGTTATCGTTTTAATAGTTTTTAAATTAAGTTTTAAATTGTATTCGTTTTTTTTTTCTCTCTCTCTCTCTCTCTCTCGCCAATTCCTTGTGTTGTTTTTAAATCGTGGGTATATCTTTCGGGCAAGCGAAATGGAATTCTTTGGTAACTGTGAAGATTTAATCTCTTAATTTGCATTTCCTGTTTTCAAGTTATATGTTGATATTAAATTTTCTTTCGTTTACTCTATTATTTTATGAAAATCGGAGCACACGACTCTCGCAGAAAGTGCATTTTAACCATTCTGGGAGAGATTCTCTCTCTCTCTCTCTCTCTCTCTCTCTCTCTCTCTCTCTCTCTCTTCTCTCCTCTTCTCTCTCTCTCTCCTCTCTCTCTCTCTCTCTCTCTCTCTCTCTCTCTCTCTCTCTCTCTTTATATTTCCTTCCGAACTCGTCTTTGGCGCGAAAAATTATTTAGAAATGCTATTGCGCACAATCATTGTCAAGAGGTTACCGCTCACATCTTCGCAGTTATCCCCATAATTCTGTTATAAGATGCTAAAAAGTGACATGCGGATACAGCTGACACACTAAAATAATAACTAAAAAAAAGGTGTTCATATAATCGCATCTAAATAAACGAAAAAAGAAAAGAAAGAGAAAAAATACATAATTTCATTTGGTTGTCCATTCTACAGATTTGAAAATACAGCATCGAGAAAAAATGGCTGTTTCATTTCTTCTCGAACAAAT